TGACGATGGCGCCGGCTTCATCCTCTTCAGCTTGTACACCCACTTAAGGGTGACGTGCGGTGACTACGAGGAAGGTCAGCAAGCTCCCAGGTGCGGTTCTTCTCAACCGCATCCATCTCCAACTGCATCGCGGCGCGGCATGCCACGTGTTTCTCAGCCTCTGCAAACGACCGAGGCTCGCCGTCGTCACACGCAAGGTGCAACTGCGCCTCTAGGTAGTGAGGCACCAGTACCGGCACTGGCTGATCGCCAAGAAGGTTCTCCACCGTACGGTACCGCAACGGCTCACCGTCGTGGTACGCGTCGATGCGCTCCTCATCGTGAGAGAGCGGAGTAGCGAGCTCAACCAGGCTGTGCTCGACGCGAGCTGATGTTGGAGTAGATGTGCCCAGAGAGGTGCCTGTCGGTGCTAGAGTACGTGGCGGTGCCAGCTATGGTGGAGCCGGTGAAGAACTCATCGTAGCCGAGGTCCTGGCTGAAGAGCGTGGTGCTGTCGGAGTAGCAGGCGCCGGGGTCGGTGGAGGCTCGGGGACTAGGGTAGACGCGCTCGTCGAAGAAGAGCTTCCTACTCCCCTAGCTCCCTAGAAGTGGACGTACTCGACAGTGAAGTCGTCGTACGTCGGAGCCGAGCTGTCGTCCACCGCCTTGTCCCACGCCCATCCTCGCCCTTCGTCGAACACAATGTCGTGCGCCGTGCGCACACGCTGTGTCTTCGGGTCAAGGATGCGGTAGGCCTTCGAGCCCTCCGCGTAGTCGATGAACACTCCCGGAGTGCTCCTGTCGTTGAGCTTGCTAATGTGGCTAAGCTCCTTGGTGAACGCGAGGCAACCGAAGACCCGCAAGTGGGAGACCGCCGGCTTGCACCCATGCCAAGCCTCGTACGACGTCCTGCCATCGAGCGCCTTGGTAGGCGAGCGGTTGAGGATGTAGACGGTCGACACCATCGCCTCTCCCCAGAATACAGCCGGCATCCCCCTCTGCTTGAGAAGGGCCCGAGCCATCCCCACAACCGTCTGGTTGCGCCGCTCAACGACGTCGTTCTGCTGCGGGCTGTACGACGTGGAGTAGTGGGGCTGAATGCCCTCATCAGCACAGTACGACTCGAATTCGCCACCATTGTCGATGCACAGCACGAGCAGCTTGCAGCCGCACTCCGCCTCCGCAGCAGCCTGCGAGCGTCTGATGGTGTCCACAACCTCTCCCTTGCTGCCGAGGACCATCACCCACATATAGCGGGAGAGGTCATCGACAAGCAACATGAAGTAGCGTCGTCCCCCCGGTGTGGCCGGTGTCATCGAGCCACACAAGTCCCCGTGCACAAGCTCGAGCCTCTCCTTGGCTAGAAAGCTCGCCCGTTGGGGAAAGGGGAGTCGCCTCTGCTTCGTCAACACGCAGACGTCGCAGAGCTGCTCCACATGGTCGAGGCACGGCAGGCCTCGCACCATCTCCGTGGCACTGAGCCGCTTCAGGGCCTCGAAGTGAAGGTGCCCGAAGCGCTCGTGCCACTGCCACGCTTCGTCGTCCCGACGAGTAGCGAGACAGAGGGGTTGTGCCACCTGCACGTTAAGGACGTAGAGTCGATTTGCGCTTCTGGTCACCTTAGCAAGAAGGCGACGACGGCGATCCCAAATCCTCATGACTCCATCCTCAACCACCACGCGCGAACCGTTCTCATCCAGCTGTCCCAAGCTAATGATAGAGTTCCTCAACGCGGGGATGTAGTAGACTCCGGTGAGTAGCATGTGCTCACTAGACACGACGGTGAAGATGATGGAGCCGACGCCCTTGATCTCCATGCCGGAGGCATCCCCAAACTTGACGGAGCTTCGGACGCTAGAGTCAAGCTCGGTGAAGAACTCCCATCGACTGGTCATGTGATGGGTGGCGCCGGTGTCGAGGCACCACCCGTCAGTCTTATCGTTGCCGGAACCATCGCCGAGGAGGGCGTGTGATTTTGGCTCATCAAGGTGGAGGAGAGCCGATGCTGCCGGTGCCGCTGGAGGTAGCTCGATGCTTGCATGTGCCATGAACAGAGCCAGCTCCTCCTCCTCCGCCTGTGCGACATGGGCCTGGCCACGTCGTTGCTATCGATAGTCCTTGGTCCAATGGCCAAGCTGGCCGCAGTTGCGGCAGGTGTCGTCTCGTGCCGACTTGTGCCTACCGGTGCCGCCGCCCTAGGCGCCTCCGCGGGTATCACCCTCGGCACATCCTCGCGCCTCGACCGGGGCATCTCTGCGCGCCTTGCGCGGCTTGCCATGCTTGTGGCCGCCTGTCGTGGAAGAAGGCTCACCCTTCTTCCGGTCACCTTGGTTGGCAAGTCACTGCTCCCGAGTGAGAAGGAGCTTCCTGCCAGTGGTGATGGGCCCCGAGAGAGACTATGGCTCATCAGCTGTCGATGACCTTGAGGCGACCTATCGCCTCCTCGATCGACATCGTGGAGAGATCCAGCAGTGACTCGATCGAGCGAGCCATCTGTTGTACTTCTTGGGGACGCAGCGGAAGAGCTTTTCGACAGCTCTCTCCTCGCCGTAGGTGTCATCGCCGAACTGCACCATCTTCTACAATAGAGTGTTGAGACGGAGAGCAAAGTCATCAACGTCCTCACCTGGCTTGAAGGCTAGGTTCTCCCACTCCTTGCGAAGTGCCTGTAGTGTGGACTTGCAGGCGCGGTCGCTGCTGATGCGTGCCGCAACGATGGCGTCCCAAGCCTCATTGGTAGTTCACTTGTTGGTAAGCGAGAACTGCATCTCGGGTGGGACTGCAGCAATGAGGGCATCCAGCGCCCGTCGATCTAGGTCGTTGTCGACGTTGCCGTACCGGACTACCTCCCACATGTGCCGCACCTAGAGCTTTACCGTCATCACCGCAGCCCACTCGACGTAGTTGGTCTTAGTGAGAGTAGGCCACCCACCGCTGGGGCCGACGTCCCTGACAACAGCCTGGAGCCCATGGTAACCACGGTACCGATCCGGGGAGAGGGAGCCACGCTGCCTGTGAAGGCTGCGCTCTCCATCGACCCGTCCGCCACCGTCGCTGTGCACGCCTCCTCTAGGAGTGCCGCCGCCGTGCGCGCCTCCTCCAGGAGCGCCGGCGGCGTCCGCGCCTGTCTAGGCTGCCGCCGCGCTCGTGGGCGTGCGCGGCTGCCCACTGCGCCGCCCACGCTCGTCCTGCCTCCCTCCCCAGCAGCTCGAGGTCCGTGTCGGCGCTGTCGTCAGCAGAAATAGAGCTGTTGATGCTGCCGCACAGGGCCTCGACCTCTGCTGCCGCCGCACGCGCTGCATCCGCCGCCGCCGCTGCTTCCCCCTCCGCTCTGGCTGCTGCCAGCCTCGACGCCCTTGCCGCCGCCGCAGCGGTCTCTGCCGCCGCTCGCTCGCGTTCCTCTGCTGTGACAAGTTCGGCCTCCTGCCGATGCCGCATGCTCGTGGCGACCGAGCGCTAAGACTGTCCTGCGGACATGACGCGCTATTGGGGGCTGCTGCGTGGGGAGAGGGCTGCTTTAGACGAGCTGCGCAGAGGGAGAGGAGTGAGCAGGAGCGGCCGAAGCTGCTGCTGCTCCTAGCTGGGGTTGTTGCGAGGCTGGAAAAGAAGATGAGCAGGAGATGCTCAGGCTACAGGATAATACGGCTCTGATACTACTTGTTAGTCGCTGAATTCTTACTCTTGGTAGTAGCAGAATTCTTACTCTCATCGAGAGAGGATGACACTAGGAGTTGGGGCAATTTTCTGGTTTATTTCTCACACAAATGTCATGCCAACCTGAGGGGTTGGGGGTACATATTTATAGGCTGCTAGCCAGCCACGCATATGCCAAGATGCTAGTCTAAGATGTTGTCCTAGATGCTAATATACTGTCCTCTAAGACGTTGTCCTATATGCTAAGATGCTGTCCTCTAGTCTAAGATGTTGTCCTAAAAACAGACCATGCAGCCACAAGGACCATGTGACCAGCACAACCCCACGAAGACCAATCAACGCATGAGACTTATCCCATCAATATATATTCTTGGAAAGAGAAGTATACACGGGACAGATGATAATTGTATGATCAGTGCGCCTAATCACCCACAAACAAGTGCCATCACAATCATGATTTACTTGCAAGGGAAACAAACCGATCGGGGTAGTAGGCCACTCCTGATAGAAGAACATGGTCAGGGGCCAAGCAATCAGTAATCTAAAAGTCCCAATTGGACCGCCCGGTTGCTCACCAACTTGGGCATCATATATAACTACATATATGTTGGCTACCTAGCCACCTTTCCTTTTTTGAAAGGAGTCAAACAATGACATATAGGAGTATATTTCGTTTTTGAAAGGGAACAATGCCATCTATATACGGAATACTTTGTTCATCACAAATGATCGAGCCACACGGCTTTAGTAGACTGGTTGTATGAAAACACATGTCATATCGTAAATGCGTTTAAGCTTGAAACGTTTTTGCTTCTAGAGAGCATGTGGAAGCAAAAACTTGCAGGAGCGAACGTTGTAAAGTGAAACGTATGGATCAAATTCGTAACAGTCTGGACCTAAAAGGCCATTCTCTCGACCATCATCAAAGGAAAAAGCGCCAAGGAGAAGCTTGCCGTGCGATAAAGCAGGCACCTCTAATTAGGTCAAAATCCACATACCAGTCTCCTTCACGACTGCTTCATCACTGATGGGCTTCCACACCTTCTCTATCGCATCTCTTTCCACTTCTCTGTCCTTGTACTCTTGTTTTCTCTTTCTTGAGAGCTTGTATTCTACACTTGTTTACGATGAGACATTGAGACCAGGTAGCCATCGTCGTTTATTTGCATAACATGGTGGTCACAGAGACCAAACCTAACTATAACTACCAAATCGTATATATATATTGACATATTCGTGGTGACAAATATAAGTATGGCACACTCGTCTCACCCAATAGAAGAAGAAGAATTAAGCACACGCACGCTAGCGGCTAGCCTTCTCTTGTTGCTGCCCTTCCAAAGGCTCCAAGCCAAAGGATAGAATAGATGGAATCAGTAGCACGGCTGCTTCTGCTGGTGGCCGTGGTGGTGGCCGCGGCCAGTGGCGCCACCACGGGCGCCGTGGCCGCGACCGCGACGCCGACGCCGCACCTCAAGCTCAAGGGCGGCCTGCGCGTGCGCCTGACGCACGTCGACGCGCACGGCAACTACTCGAGGATGCAGCTGCTGCAGCGGGCGGCGCGCCGAAGCCACCACCGCATGTCGCGGCTCGTCGCGCGTGCCACCGGCGTCAAGGCCGCCGCCGGGGGAGGGGACCTTCAGGTCCCCGTCCACGCGGGCAACGGCGAGTTCCTGATGGACGTGGCGATCGGCACCCCCGCGCTGTCCTACGCGGCCATCGTGGACACCGGCAGCGACCTGGTGTGGACGCAGTGCAAGCCGTGCGTGGAGTGCTTCAAGCAGAGCACGCCGGTGTTCGACCCGTCGTCGTCCTCCACCTACGCGACCCTCCCTTGCTCCAGCTCCTTCTGCGGCGACCTGCCCACCTCCACCTGCACGTCGGCCAACAAGTGCGGCTACACCTACACCTACGGCGACGCGTCGTCGACGCAGGGCGTGCTGGCCAGCGAGACGTTCACGCTGGGCAAGGAGAAGCTGCCCGGCGTGGCGTTCGGCTGTGGCGACACGAACGAGGGCGACGGGTTCACGCAGGGCGCCGGGCTCTTCGGGCTCGGCCGGGGCCCGCTCTCGCTGGTCTCCCAGCTCGGCCTCGACAAGTTCTCCTACTGCCTCACCTCGCTCGACGACGGCGACGGCAAGAGCCCGCTCCTGCTGGGCGGCTCCGTCGCGGCCATCTCGGAGAGCGCGGCCACGGCGCCCGTGCAGAGCACCCCGCTGGTGAAGAACCCGAGCCAGCCGTCCTTCTACTACGTGTCCCTGGCGGGGCTCACCGTGGGGTCTACACGCATCACCCTCCCGGCCTCGGCGTTCGCGATCCAGGACGACGGCACGGGCGGCGTCATCGTGGACTCCGGCACCTCCATCACGTACCTGGAGGTGCAGGGGTACCGCGCGCTGCGGAAGGCGTTCGTGGCGCAGATGGCGCTGCCCACGGTGGACGGCTCCGAGATCGGGCTGGACCTGTGCTTCCAGGGCCCCGCCAAGGGCGTGGACCAGGTGCAGGTGCCCAAGCTGGTGCTCCACTTCGACGGCGGCGCGGACCTCGACCTCCCCGCCGAGAACTACATGGTGCTCGACTCCGCCTCCGGCGCGCTGTGCCTCACGGTGGCGCCGTCGCGGGGGCTCTCCATCATCGGCAACTTCCAGCAGCAGAACTTCCAGTTCGTGTACGACGTCGCCGGGGACACGCTCTCGTTCGCGCCCGTGCAGTGCAACAAGTTGTGATGACGTGCCGCCGTACGTACGTGTATGCTTGTAGGCGATTGTATTTGGAAGGACCGGTTGGTCTTCATGTGACGACGGCCGGGTGGTTACTGGTCAGTGATCAATATATTGACGTGTAGGTATCATGTTCGTGACGCGCTGTTTTTCGCTTCTTCTTTTTTTTTTACACCGCTGGTACAAGAACAATGGGTGCGCTTGCTTTATGCTTTGGTTTGGAATTGCTGGGAAAGTCGCAGAGAGGAGAGCTTCTAGGACGGAGACGGAGACCCATTTGGTCCATGTGCTGGCCGCCAATTGACTTGCGAAATCCCTGCGTTATCAGACAACCATCGACAGCGTTTAGACCTCGCGAAGGTAGCGTTCTCAGTCTGCTTTGGCTGCTTTACCAGGCTATCACTATCGGCCTCGGAGCTTTACCGCTTCTGAGGTACATCTGGGAAACTACGGACTGGATTGATACGACTCTCAATAATTGCTATAAGAAACTCTTTATATCCTTTGGTGTCGATAGAAATATAGATTTGATGCAAAATATTCCCCTTCAACGGCTTTTTTTTAACTAGAACTCCAAATATTCTCATGGTTTATTCCTGCCTTGTCACTCACAAAACTTATTTTTCCTCCAAGAAAAATAAGAAGTTTCTTAGAGGTAATCTCCTCCAGAATCCCTAAAAGAGAAGATGTTATACTTCTTTCTATAAGATTTAATGAAAATTAATAAATCTAACATAATTGTTGTGCTTTAGTGTGTGACTCGGGTATTTTTTTTCCTGTAGGATAAAATGGAGATTGAAAAAGAAAATGGCTAAACCCTACTAAAAATTCAGATTAGCTAAGAGCAGCTCTAGCAGGAGCTCTCAAATTATGGCCCCTACTTTTGTTGAGGGTTCTCCCTCGTTTTTTAGGGTGTGATTTTTTGCATCTACTCTAGTAGAAACTCTCAAGCCAAAGCCCTCAAATCCTTTTTTACAGACACTAACATAAGGGGGCCCACTTGTCATTCTTTGTTCTTCTCATCCTCAATCGCTCCCGTGGCAAGAGATCGTGGCGGCAGGAGGAGTATGGGAGCCGCATCTGACGAGTGGAGGCAGAGTTGCCCTCGCCAAGAGGAGTTGAGCAGCGGCTCCCATTGAGAGAGGAGCCACACCCTCGTTGGCACAGCGGCCGAGAATCTCGCTGCCCGGGAGAAGAGGAGGTGCAGGCGCGCGGTCGATGTCGTCAGCAGAGGACAAGAGGAGGAGCTGCATGTGGGAGGAGCTTGCCGGAGAGGATCTTGCCTAGGAGGAAGAGGAGCCATGTAGCCGGGAGGAGTGGCCAGGACCTCGCCGCAGAGGAGAGGAGACACCTAGGAGGGAGAGGATGGCCTGGCTAGAGGACCTCGCCAACCGAGGGAGCTTGCCGGAGAGAGGAGCTGCATAGTGTCTAGACCTCGCCGGGGAGGAAGGGGACGTCGTCGGGAGCAAGAGGCAGGAGTCGCGGGAGGAGGACGTCGTGGCGGTGCAAAAGAAACTGTGGGGGAGGGGGGGCGGGGGGGGGGCGAGAAACAGCGATGTAGAACAGGCATCGCGTGCATGAAAACTACCGAAACAAAAATTTGAGGGCTCCAACAGGCCCCAAGAATAAGGGGTGGGAGGAGGGTTTGAGGGCCCTGGTAGAGATTCTGTTGGACCTTATATTTAGTTTTGTGGACTTAAATAGAGGATCTGTTGGAGTTTGCTCGGGCAAGCCGACCCTGCAGCCTAGAAACTACGTGCTGCGGCTCAAGATTGCCGCCTGCATACTCAGTTTTTCTATGGTCCAAACGTCGCAAAACCGCTGGCAGTCTGGCACAGCCCATGTTGCTCAGTGCGGTCATGTTGAGAGCCTCCGCGGTCCGCGCATTTCGGCCGTGCATTCTCCACTTTCGTCCTGGTGTTTTCAGCTCGCTTCTCTCTGGGAATTTGGGGAAAATAGCCTTCTGGTCAGTGGTCTCGTGCTCCTGAATCCCCATCAACCCAAAAGCCGAACGTTCTAGCAGTAGCAGAGCATTCAAAAAAAAAAAAGGCTCGTGTTCTTTGAGAAATAGCAGCGCGTACGTACGTACACAAAAGAACGCAAAGATGTCATGCCGTGGCCGTGCGATTCAATGCTAACAGCAGTGCCGGTCTTAGTTGTAGGGCACGAGGTGCGACAGTCGAGGGTCTAAGCGGAGAAGGAGCCTAAGCGTAGGTATACAAACCTGTAGGTCTTTAGTAAACTAATGAGAGGAAAGACAGAGAACTGGCCAGGCGGTCAAAAAAAAACAACATCGACATTTCTTTTCTAATTTTCTTTCCCCACGGCCCTCGGGTAGAGAGGAGATGAGGAGTCACGCTGCACACACACTTTGATCGTGAGTTCACAGTGCGTGCGTCTTACACACGCGGAGCTGGCGAGCCGCGCCGCTGTGAAGAGCTAGACTACCGGAGACATGGACACGGCGCACGAGGATGACGACCAGGCAGGGCTCCACGACGACGACATCTTGATTCTTGTCTTCTTACGAATTGCGATCACCGATCAGTTGTTTAGGCCCAAGGTATTTTTTCCTTTTTATTTTTAATCCAAATTAATTATTTGTATAGTATTCTAGACTTCTAGTACTTTGTACCCATATACTCATAATTTTCTTCTAATTTAGGTTTTAGAATTTTAGAATGTTACCTAAGAAATATTTGTCATGGATGAGAAAAGAAAACGAATATATTGTTTTTTTAATCTATATTATTCTTCGATAATTATCATACATCTACGAATATATTGCTTAATCTACATGATTTCTCGATAATTATCAGACATGTTAAATTAAAAATATGTTATTGAATTTACTTTCATTTTACCAGTAAAATTAGTGCCGATATATTATAAGATTTTATACATGGTTAAGAGGGACCGTTACGTCGAGATCGCTAGAGGGTCCTTAAAATCCTGGCTAACAGCAACCAGCTCGCCTTTGCCGCGCCACCTTTGTGTGGCCGAGGAAACCGGTCGCTCGTCTACTTAGGCCCAGTCTAGATGTGAAATTTTTTGCAAAATGCAACTGTAGCGCTTTTCGTTATTATTTGGCAATTAGTGTCCAATCATAGTTTAATTAGGCTTAAAAGATTCGTCTCGTGGATTTCGTCTAAATTGTGTAATTAGTTTTATTTTTTATTTATATTTAATGTTTCATGCATGCGTTAAAGATTCGATGTGATGGAGAATCTTAAAAAATTTGGCAAAATAAGGTGGAACTAAACAGGGCCTTAATCCATTTTACTGTCAAGCAAAGGACACATGCTGCGTTCGTTCAAGGACCTGTCCTGTGCTCGCCAAGCCAAAACAAGATACAGCATAGCCTCAGCCCTCAAACCGCCGCCATGGAGCTGCTGGTGCTCCTGCTCTTCCTCGCCCTCCCCGTCCTCCCGGTGCGCGGCGGCTCGTTGGTGCCTCCGCGGCGGTCGCTCCACCTCGAGCTGGCGCGCGTGGACGCCGCGGCGGCCGCCAACCTCACGGACCACGAGCTCATCCTGCGCGCCGTGCAGCGCAGCCTCGACCGCCCGGGGATCGTGGCGCGCTCTGGCGGCAGCCGCGGACGGGGCGCGCAAGGCCGTCGCGAGCGAGGCCCCGCTGGTGCCCGGTGGCGGCGAGTACCTGGTCAAGCTCGGGATCGGCACGCCGCAGCACTTCTTCTCGGCGGCCATCGACACGGCCAGCGACCTCGTCTGGTTGCAGTGCCAGCCCTGCGTCAGCTGCTACCGCCAGGTCGACCCGATCTTCAACCCCAAGCTCTCCTCCTCCTACGCCGCCGTGCCATGAAGCAGCGACACCTGCGCACAGCTGGACGGCCACAGGTACCTACTTGTACTCAGCGATGCACTGCACCAAGTTTAATTACTACGTATATACAACCGAGAGACGCAGCAAACGTACTGACACGCAAATGCATGTGCATATGTGACGAGTACACCTACAAGTACAGCGGGAACGCGGTGACGAAGGGCACCCTGGCCATAGACAAGCTGGCCGTCGGCGGCGACGTGTTCCACGCCGTCGTCCTCGGCTGCAGCGACTCCAGCGTTGGGGGCCCTCCCGCGCAGGCCTCGGGGCTGGTCGGCCTCGGCCGCGGGCCGCTCTCGCTGGTGTCCCAGCTCTCGGTCCGTCGGTTCATGTACTGCCTGCCACCGCCCATGTCCAGGACACCGGTAAAGCTCGTGCTCGGCGCGCGCGCGGACGCCGTCCGGAACGTGTCGGACCGGGTGACCGTCACCATCGTCCAGCACGCGGTACCCGTCCTACTACTACCTCAACTTCGACGGGCTGGCCGTGGGCGACCAGACCCCGGGCGGCCGGGCACGATCAGGAGGCCAACGTCGCCGCCCACGTGTGGTGGTGGCGGCGGCAGCGGCAGCGGCGGCAGCGCAAACGCGTACGGGATGATCGTGGACGTCGCGTCGACCATCTCGTTCCTGGAGGCGTCGCTGTACGATGAGCTGGCGGACGACCTGGAGGAGGAGATAAGGCTGCCCCGCGCCACGCCGTCGCTCCGCCTGGGTCTGGAGCTCTGCTTCATCCTGCCGGAAGGCGTCGGGATAGACCGGGTGTACGTGCCGACGGTGTCGATGTCGTTCGACGGACGGTGGCTGGAGCTGGACAGGGACCGGCTGTTCGTGGAGGACGGCAGGATGATGTGCCTAATGATCGGCAGGACGAGCGGGGTGTCCATCCTTGGGAACTTCCAGCAGCAGAACATGCATGTCCTCTACAACCTGCGCCGGGGCAAGATCACCTTCGCCAAGCCCAGCTGCGACTCTTTGCCATAGATAGGCTCCGCATGGACTGGAATCTTGGTCTCATGATCTTGTACTCCGTGCCAGCATTTTACCGAATTTGCACATTGAGAGATTAGATATTTGTCAGAAATTTCTGAAGTGTATATGCAGAAATGTGTGATCATTCACTAACCAGAGTTGAAAAAGAAGTGAACATCGCTCGAGTAGAAGCTCTAAAACTTGCTGATAAGATTGTGGTCGATTTATGAAATCCGTTTATTAACACTGATAGTGATAAATTGTCCATCGTCTCTTTGGTTCTTTCATCTTTTTCTCTGGTTTGTTGCTCATTGCTAGAAGTATGCAAAGCAAAGGATTGCTCTCCTTCTAGCTCAGAAAAAGTGGAAGGGAAAACCAACACATTTTTGTAAACCACAGGTGCACTGGAATATAGCCATAATGTAGCCACTCAAAAAGCAGCTTACAAGAATATATCGATGTCTGGGCATGAATGAATTCTAACTTTATTCATAAATCTCTACCCTCTAAACAAGGGGTGAATGTGATTTTTTTCACTTAGATAACTCGGTGTCAGAATGCTCACGCACAGCATTCGCCAGTTCTTGGACATGTTGGTCTACAGCTCCTGACAAGAAATATTTGAACTTTGTAGTCCATGCTACATATTGTACTATTGTCAATAAAAAATCTATAAAAGAGTAACCTTACCTAATTTGTTTAAGGCATCCTCAAGTTTGAACACATACTCTCTGTTAGGTCCAGATGGGCCTTGAGCAAGGTAAATTTGCCTAAAAACGGCAAGAGTTTTCTTAGGGAACTAAACAGGGCACAAGTTATACCATAAGCTAACAATAGTTTCAGTTGCACAATCTAGTAATGCAAAAATTAATTAATGGGATGTCATACCTGGCCATTTCATCCAGAGGTGCAGGACCAAGATAGTTTTGATTGCTCTCCTTATTCGCGGTGGCGAAGTATCTGTTATCCAAGTACTTATTCAGTTGTCAGTGAAATTTTAGTATGTTGAAATGCTTATTTAAAATTACAGGACCACTTACACCATCACATTTTCGACAGCTGGTACTTTGGGCGATGAATCCTGAAAGTTATTACAACTTAAACTCCGCAGTAGTTACATGTGGAACATTATCGAAAGGGAAATAGATCCAGCCCTCATATCTTACAGTATACAAGTCAAGGTAAACCTTCTCATCATATTGCTTCTCCCTGACTTCAAGATACTGCAATTCAAATCTGAAGATAAATGCCAATAGAAGCAATATAAAGCTGTAAGCAACATAATATCAGTTTGTGCAGAGACTTGCTGCTAGATATACCATCACGTCAACACAGAAAAGTTCATATATACCGAAATTTCATAGGCCCGTTCATGACTTAATCATCATAGTATCTAAATTTAATCAGACTGTAGGAAAGAACATATGAGTTTTGGTCCATCGACCAATATCTACATCTCCATAATGACAAGTAAGTAACACCAGCTTTATCCCAATCATCAAACATCAAACAATTGAGTATCATAATCATGGGACAGTTGTGTGCATTCAGTACTAGTAGCATATCTGCATGGCTTGCAATAAACATACCTCCATAGCTATCTCCTTATCTTCCTCCTTTATTCTGTAAGCAACTCCCCACTAAAAGATGTAAAATAGACAGATTAGCTCGCAGAATCAACCGCATGAACTGTGAAGGAGTAACATCGACCATGAATTTACTAATCCATTTGGTTTGCGCATACTAGTAATCAGGCCGTTCTTAGCAGTTATAATAACAGAGGAGGAGGGTGGACAAGAGAAAGGGCGTACGCAGGTCGCTCCGGGCTGGTGCTCGAGCGTGACGGTCCTTCCGGGGAACTGCGGCGTGCCCCTGTGGTCCGTGCTCCCTGTCCGTCCACCGGCCGCCAAACGAAGGAAGAGTAATTTGAGGGCGCGGCCGTGAAGACGGACGGATTGCAGGCGGGGGTGTGAAGGTTACCCTGGTAGAAGACGCGGCGGTAGTCCGTGACGAAGCCGACGAGGCGGGCGTCGTAGGCGAAGCCTGGGTTCCACATCAGCGAGCCGTACCCGAACACCCAGATCGGAGACATGGCCGCCACGCCTCCTCCCCCCTTCTCCCGGCGTCTCCTTTCCCTCCGGTGGAATCGAGGATGGTTTGCGCAAAGCGCACGGCCACGGGGAAGGGCGGCGAGAAGGCCCACCCTCCTCTGGTTGGTGTGTGCGCGAGTAGCAGCAGGCAGCCGGAACCGGAAGGCAGGCAGGCGAATCACGCAGAAATCGAGAGGCAGACAACTTGCTAGTCATATTCTCTCTTTTATTTATTCCTTTTTTTATTTTGTCCCAACGTGACAAGTGGCTAGAAATGATTTTTTTTTTGTTGCTCACGTTTGTGTTACGGCATTATCTGCTCGCACCTCGTGGATTTGTACCTACTAAAATCCATTTTTTTCAAGAAAAATTGCACATGTTAAAGTTAAACCTCTTCACGTAACAGACTGAAAACACCTCCTCTTTCAAGAAAGAAGAAGACCATTTCGGTCACACCTGGAGGGGGGGGGGTAACAAAGCATAGCAGATACGCAGGTAAACAATCCATAAACCACTCATCAGTACAGCTTCCTCATGCAAAATGCCATCAGGCACAAGACAGAAACACAGGAGACAGATGCTGCGGGTGAGAAACACAACCAAGTAGTAAGTGAAGAATGCACAAGAACTATAAGTATTTGAATAGATGTTTCAGATGACAAGTAGTAAGCGAATTGGTACAAGAAAGTTATGCACAATGTGAAGAATGCGCTACCAAGTAGTAAGCCAAGAACAGAATTCAGTAGACAGTGTCATCAATTCCCGGCAAAACATATTTGAATAGATGTTTCAGATGACAAAAGCTACCACAAGAGCATTCAGAAATTGTCTCATGTCAGCAACCACCTTTATTTTCTCCAGTACCCCTATATTTTACTCGTCTACTCTTAACTAAAGCTTATTTACTTCTCTGCATAAGCATAAGCAGAATCACTATAACGTAGGGTATGTATTAGCAATGGTCATGAAGGATAGACATGCCGGCAGGCAACAAACAACAATACTGAAACCACCTCAGAATCATCGACTGAAACCTGAATTGATCACAACTTCAACCCCCCCTGAAGTTCTGAACAGACTCTGTCAATCATCACTATCAGCATCATCGACCTCGTAGTCACCGCCACTGCTTGAGTCGGTACCGTACTCAGGCTCCCATGGCTCCCTGAATGACTGGAGCGCGCAGCACCTCTCCTCGATGTCGCCTTCAAGCCGGACGTTCCAGCAGCCAAGTATGTCCAGGGTCCGCAGCAGCTGACACTTGGTAAGAATGGCGTTGAGCCCAAGGTCACTGAACAGGCCATAGGCAAGCTCAAGTTGTTCTAGCATTGGCATGGTGTTCGCGACTGCCAGTGCCTCTTCTTCAACCACCTTATTAGCTGCTGTGTTGAAACCCTGAGGAAGGTCTGGAGGGGGCATGTTCCTCTTCAGCTGAACGAGCAACGTGCAGTGCCGGCCTAGTGCCTCGATTCCTTTGGGAGTGATATTCAGGCAGTTACTGATGTCCAGCACATTAAGTACAGGAAGGCATTCTGCATGCTTCTCCACGGCTGATCAGTGATCTCGCGCATTGGGATCTGGAGGACATTGAGCAACTTACCCCTGTTCAACAGCAGCAAACACCAAACATTATATTGTTGAAACTATGTCAGATTCAGATACCATATTAACAGAGTACAAAGAACTAAAAAAATTAATAGCTATAAGTAACTAAATGCACATGAATAGAGAAAACACGGTATCACAAAAACAGTGTTTTCTGGCAAGTTCATATCCTAGTATATGATGATAAGATATCCTATAGTCATTATTCTAAAGTCCTTAGTGAAGCAGTACCGCCATAAGCAAGCCATAGATCAAGTAATACGTATCATCAATCAAGATGTTGGAAAGCATTGCCATGTTAAGAGGCCTATGGAAAGCCAGAGCTTCAGCCAGCATGCCTAGTTTGGTTCTCAGCTTCACTTAAAGAAACAACAACATGATTTGGTATTAAAGCTGAAAAATGTCAGATAATAAGTTTCACAGAGGACAGAGTAACATAGGCCGCATTACATTGAGACCATAAAAATCTTCACTAAACGCAAGGTGATGTGAACATACAGATCAGTGTGGATCATAAATATCCAAGATAGCAGCTGCCAAATTAATAAATATGAGCTACAACCACCAAATTTTGTCCATTAAAGGAATCTTTATATGAATCAAATTTTACAGTGTGACGCTCAAAACGGACAATGTCTGGTAACAGGATCGTAGCAAATAGCCAAATAGCCGCAGGCAATGATGAATTCTACCCATCACTAGTAGTAGGCAGTAAACATCAGAATCGGCAACACTTAAAGCTTTCATAAGAGATCATTATTACACTATGTTTCTATTAAAGCTCCTTTGGCACGGCTCATCCAAAACGGCTTCACTCGTGTCAGGTGAATAGACAGTGATTAGTGAAAGAATTTCAATGTTCAAGTGGCAGGGGGCTGCATGTCAACACATCATTCTAGTGAACTTTCTCAAGCCAAGAGCGAACATCTCAGGCACGCAGCACACCAAGGGTCCCCAACGCGGTAGGCAGAGAGCCTCCGAAGCGTGCCCTGCGCACGGGCGACGAGTCGGCGCACGGCGGCGTCGGCCCTGGCGCGGCAGTTGACGCGGCGACACCAGGCCTCGATGTCCACGTCCCCCCACATGTCCGGCGACGCCACGGCCTGCGTCCACGCCCTGCAAACCTGCGCCGCGCCCCGCGCCACGTCGTCCGCGGCGACACGCCCGCGGAGCACCAGCGCCAGGATCTCCGGGCTCACCGCCTCCGTCCACCTCCACTCGTACGCCACCACCTCCTCCTCCTCGTCGCCACCCGCGTCTCCTTCCCCGTCGCCGCGAGGCCTCGCCCTTTTCGCTTCGGGCTCCGGCCAGCCCCACACCTGCGCTCTCTTTCCCCCGCCGGCGGCCGTACCCGCCTCCTTCGCCGCCGGCGCAGCCGCCTCCGACCAGCTCGTCCAAAACCCTCCTCCGCTCCCGCAGCTTAGGCTACCAAGCCCCGGCGCCTTTCCCGGGCCCAGGATCCCCCTCGACCCCCCTCCTCCACCACTAGCGACGACAGCTTCGCCTCCACCGGAGGGTTTCTTCTTCATGGCCTCCGCGTGTGACCACCTGAGCACGGCCTTTATATAACCAGGCTGAGCTCACGGACTCCACCAACTTCGTGTTGCGGAGGAATGGGTGCATCACGCGTGCCTCATCGGGCGGTTGGAGTTGGGGAACAAAATTCGGTGTTGCCCGGATGCAAAGCGCATCCAGTGCCCACCCTTCCACCCGGTCGACGCGTGGAGACACAGGGAAATCTGACGGTCGCGTGTCTGGGAAGCTCCTAGCGGCTCCGAACGGCTCGCTTGCCTGGCTCCTCGCGCATCTGCATGCATGGCTCGGCATCGCGGCTGCATGCATCGCGAGGCAGCGAGTTGGAATAGGCGCGGCCGAGGGTTTGGGTTCTGGCAACGCACTGCCGCCGCCGCCTGTTCCAATCTGGGCCGCTGCCGTCGCCACCTCCATCTGGCTCGGCGGACCAGCGCCGTCGAGGCTCGAACACCACGCCGCCGCCGCCTCCTCCTCCATTTGCCCGTCGTCGTCTGAGGCTCTGAGCTCTTGGGAGTGGAAGGCTTCTTCTCAAATGGATTCTTCTGCGTCGACTCTTCTCCCGGCGGATCCTTCTTGTACGTCTCGAAGAACTCCCTGTTCTCCTTCTCCAGCTCCTTCCAAACTATGAACACAAAGAAGAAATAAATCAACAAAGCGCATGATACAGGCTCACAGCAGGCAACCTCAGATGCGCATGAGGATGATGCAATCGTTGATGGTGGTCATGGAGTCGACAGAGAGCAGCCATCACAGGTAGGGTCATCGCATGTTCATTTATACGATAATGCAGAAACATCGCATGTTACTCATCTATTTTGGTACGATCATGCATAACATGACTGAATAATTAATCATCATCTCATTTTACAACAGGTGGCAGATAAAGTTGGGATCACTCCTAAAGTTGGAATGCATTTTGAATCAGAGGAAGAAGCCTTTGAGATATATAACACATGCCGGTAAGGTTGGGTTCAGTGTTATAAAGAGCAATACAAAGCGTCGAGTGGATGGTAGTATATCTCAGAAATATATAGTTTGCAGTAGCCAAGGACATCGACAAACCGAGTCATCAAAAGACACTACAAGGACAGGTTGTGATGCTCGTGTTCAGTTTAGTGTCAGCAGAGAGGGGATTTGGACAGTGCAAAAGATTGTAACTGAACATAATCATTATCTTGCTAGTCCAGATAAGTTGCATAAGCTGAGATCCCAACGGCGTGTCACTGAAGCAGACATGATGCTAATTGGCCAGATACGAGAAGCCGGGATGAAGCCAGCCCAGGTGTATGAGTTCATGAAGCAGTTTTATGGAGGAGCCGACAAAGTGCCATTCGCAAAAATGGATTGCAATAATGAGATTGGACGCGAGCGCAGAAAGTACTTAGAAGCCAATGATGTACAGACATTGGTCGAATACCTGAGAAACAAGCAGTTACAGGATCCTACATTTTTATGTCGTTCAGGTAGATAAGACAGATGGTCGGATAGCAAATTTTTTCTGGGCAGATGGTCAGTCTATTATGGACTACAAATGCTTTGGTGATGCTGTGTCATTTGACACTACGTTTCAGACTAATAAGTTTGAGATGCCTTTTGCTCCAATCCTTGGAACAAACCATCACAAGCAGACGATAATCTTTGGGGCTGCATTAATATTTAATGAAACTATTGAATCATTTGTTTGGCTCTTTGAAACCTTCCTAAAAGCAATGTTAGGCAAGCATCCAAGGACAATTTTCACTGATCAAGACGCGACCATGGCTGGAGCAATTGCTTATGTATTCCCAAATACAAGCCATCGCCTTTGTTTGTGGCACATTTACTTAAATGCTGCTAAACATCTCGGGCATGTAATTCACAAGTCAGATAACAAGTTTCTTACTGATTTTAAGAGATGTGTGTATGAAGATAGATCGGAGGCTTACTTCATCGAGAAGTGGAATGAGTTGTTATCTGAATATAAACTAGATGATAACTCTTGGATGAGAAACCTATATGATTTGAGGGCAAAGTGGGCAGCTGTGTACCGTTGATCCAAGGTGGATATGGTAATGCGACAATGCCACACTTTAATATGATTGGGAATTCTTCTACCATGTCTGCCCCATATATACAAGAAGGATATACGAGTTTGTTACTTGGAGTTGATCAAGGCGACACATTGCAGTCAGCAGTTAGGAAATTACATTTCGCTGGAGGATCCAATCATGAAAACATGTAACTGTGCTAAGCTGTTAAAGTTTACACTTTGCATGCGTGATTTTATTATTTGCCCTAGATTTTATTATGGTGTAATAATGAATTTAATCTTTTAACTGTGAGGGCGCCATATGATTTTTGTTTGCAGTTGAACCCTCTTTTATCTTTTAAATTTCAGTCTCCATTATTGGTCACGCTTGACTGTAGCTACCATACTGTACTAAACGCTACGTGATCTTTGGGCCAATCACACCACGTAGGCAAGGCACGGCAGCATGCTGCATGCAGGTCCTCGGCCCGTGGAGGCCTATTCCAACTCCCTGCCTCGCGATGCATGCAGCCGTGATGCCGAGCCATGCATGCAGATGCACGAGGAGCCAGGCAAGCGAGCCGTTCGGAGCCGCTAGGAGCTTCCCAGACGCGCGACCGTCAGATTTCCCTACGCCTCCACGCGTCGACCGGGCGGAAGGGTGGGCACTGGATGCGCTTTGCATCCGGGCAGCACCGAATTTTGTTCCGGAGTTGGAGATACTCCGCCTTTTCCACGTCCTTCTGAAACTACTATGGGTGCAAACGTATCGAGCATCTACGGTAGTTCAAAATGATATAATTGGTAAATCAATGAACTTTTTAAGTGGCTAAAAAACTTAGAAGTATATTTGTTAGATTATTACTTTAATTGTTTTTAATTCATGCTACTAAAATATAAAAGATAATTTCGCACCTAGGAACCATTTGTAGATCACTTTAAACTTTTATATTTTCTCTCATGTATATTTGCATTTCCTTTTACCTCTAGATTGACAGATCGATGCGCTCGCATATATTTAGGCCCGATTCGATCGATTTTCTCAAGTGCAAAAAGATTAGGAGCTGAGATAGGAAGTTGTTGGACAACATTTTTTTTAATCTTGCCAAAGAAGGTTAGGAGTGGGTTTTCAAAGTTCTTGGAGATGCTCTTACTAACTCGAGCTAAATTGTCATTAAAGGTTTTAAAGTTGAAATCTCGATATGCATATATGCCTTAGACAGTGGAGGTTTCACAGGGGTTTTATTCTTATTTAAAACTAAGACACATCTACTCAGTTGGTATGGTATTTATAAGAAAAGAGAGAAATAGAGTTTCGTTAGGATAAATCATCTATCACGTTTATCAATACAATAAAACACAATGAAACCTTTACTGAGACTAATTTGTTTTACTCTCCCATGCTCTCGAGGATCTTTCGCGATGAGATAAGGAAAGATTATTATGCAATTGCAAGGTTAAATATTTTATATGCCATATTTGATCATAACACCATGTAGCAGTTAAGTAATATGTCTAGCTAATAAAATTGTGTCATGAAACTACGCATTGACATAGACTATTTCATTCACTTGTAAAGCTAATGCCGCACTCGTAATAAACGTGCATTCAAACTCTGTATTCAGACATCTTAAAAAAAATACATAGGGAGTAACAGCTAACATCTTGCTTAGAGGTGGGTTCAAATCATGTGAGGTCAAAGACTAACAAGAAGCCTCTCTGAATTTGCCTGCCTCTATACTACAAGAGCCACAATTTTTTATGCCGTTGGCCTCCTTAGTGCATGGAAGGGAATTTGAATCTAGTTGTCCAATTATATGAGCATGTCGGGCACAACTTCATGAGCCGTTTGAAGTTGTTTTTTTTTGCCAAACTAGTCTTTTGTAAATAGCTTCACCAATGAAAGCTCCTTAAATTACGCTCTCACATAGAAATAGGATGGGATGAAACTGAAAATAGTAGCTTTTCACAGTTTCACCTCATACTTGTGGGTCCAATATGTGATTCTGTGAGAACATGTGTTTAAGGAAATCTACATGTAGAGCTGCTTTGTTAAATGATTCACCAAAACAACTTTAGTTTTATTGGTAAAGCTGCTCATAGAGCTAAAGCCAAAAAAAACTAATTCATTAGTGAAGTTGAATTGTGCCAAGCGAAGCCTAAATTAGCAATCGTTCACTGAACTTAAACCAGCCAACGAAAGTAACCATACAATTTTTCTTTTTGAATACACGGTTCTTGTAATTTTTTTTAAAAAATATAAATTTATATTCATGCCTTTTTGTGTAATATATTATATAGCATAACTTATATCCACAACTTCTAATAATATTTTTACAATTTTTTTTTGAGATTTTGTAAACAACTTATTATGACAACATTTTTCTACATAACCTTTTGAAAGCTCTAGTTTGGTTTTGGTGAATTGATGAAACTCTAAGTGCTAACCTAGTTTATCAAAGTGATCATGAGATATGTAGCACATTCCAAGTGGTGAAGCAAATGAAGATCATGACATGATGATGGCGATGCCATGGTGATGATCAAGTGCTTGGACTTGAAAAGAAGAAAGAGAAAAACAAAAGGCTCAAGGCAAAGGTATAAATGGTAGGAGCCATTTTTGTTTTGGTGATCGAGACACTTAGTGAGTGTGATCACATTTAGGATCGATAGCCGTACTATTAAGAGGGGTGAAACTCATATCGAAATGCGGTTATCAAAGTGTCACTAGATACTCTAACTCATTGCATATACATTTAGGATCTAGTGGAGTGCTAACACCCTTGAAAATGTTTGTGAAAAATATGCTAACACATATGTGCACAATGTGATATACTTGGTGGTTGGCACATTTGAGCAAGGGTAAGAAACTTCATCGGCGGAGTGTCCACTCGTAGAGTGTGGACAGTCCGATGGTGCCACTGGCGCCCTATATAGAAAAGACAGAGGTCACTGTAAGTGACCGGACGCCCTATGATCTAGATTGGA